TTACTTTTACAATTCATGGCAGTCTGCGCGATTGTAACACACAACTACACTAGTGCGAAAGGCTATCATATTACCTAATATTTGGATAGCATACATAAATTCACACTTACATTTACCGACATATGCAAGTCCTAAAAAGGCAAATTCTCACGTCCTATAAAGGCAACTTGCATACCATATAAGGCAGTTTCCATTACCGGGAAACACAAAGCCTCGCGCATGGCATTCCTACATCAGGATATGAGACCCCAGCGCACACACATAGCTGGTTTGGGTCAACCACAAATTTTTCTGTCAAGAGAAGATCCTTCCGGCGACCGACAGGCCACCATTCACCAACATGTAATAAATTTGTTGACGGCATCCAAGTGCACGGTAGTCACGTGACTATTAACTGCAGGCAGAAATAAGACCCAACAATTTATACAGTGGAACGAATAACAAGGAAGACTTCAACCAAGAAGGGCAAATAGCACTACTACAGGCAGGGGGAACTATAGCCACTGACAAGTCTCAGAATCACACCAAAAATTGCGCAAATAAACGTGATTTCTGTCAAGAGGTATTCACTTATCATATCAACACTGGCCCGATATAGTGAAAATTTCACTCCCACCCGCCCACCCTTCATTCTGTGCTATTATAATCTTGTTTTCTTGCTCTGCGTCTTCTTCGTAGCTCCGCGCCTGGCACTCGGGACGAGGCCAGCGAAGGGTGGGATAATAGGGGATAGAGCCCCTCGAGGATACAAGTGTGTAAGCGAAGCGAAACACACTAGCGACAAGTGTGCGAAGCAAAGCAAGCACACTAGCGAGGAGTCACCCCGAGGGCAACAGCACCGAGCTTTGGGTGATCCGAAGCGCTACACCCCATCCCCGACACTAAAGGCTAGCGAAGCTAAAGCCTTAAGCGAAGCGCAGCAAAGCGTAACAATTTTTCGCCAAAGTAATGTCACATGGAGCAGACACGAGACTACTGCTACCAGCAAGGGCCTGGTGAGCCCATTGCATCAAGACCATTTTTTGCAATGCGCAAATGGCAACACGACATTTACTATTCACTACAAGACCATAAAAAGAAAAGGCGATACCTTTTTTGGCAACAAGATTACCAAACATGGCAATTTCTCACCATCAGGAAGGCCATGTAACGCATGCATAAGACCTCACAGGCAGCACCACTACAGGAAGTAAGACCCTCTGACCAAGGGCAACCTAATACTTGGCAGCTTTGAGCGCCACCAGGGACCTGGGCATGTCACTAAACTGCGCCACTAGGTGGCTATGATCGCCAATATATGACGTCATTCAAGATCACGATCGATCAAGAAAGTCTATCTCGACTCAATCACAAAGATCGGATCTCGATTATGATCGATCGAGGAAGGCGTCACACTTTCATTTACTTGGGCACATAAATTGGCACACCACGTGATTTATCGCACGCCACACATGCCAAGAGGATTATGTAATAAAAGGCATCTACTGGTCAAGATTCGAACTTGGTACCACACCGCCCCCATGGCGTAGTGGAAGCAGCATGGGGGCCCCAAAGGGCGACCGAACCAGCGACCAAGTTCGACACCTGGGGAAGACCAGGATATTCCAGTACCGGAGAGTACTGAGGGGCCAGGCCGCGGCAGGGCCTTAAATGCCACTTTTTTGCATAAATCAACTTATTGTCCAACGACCTATCGCAAGTCGTTAAACTGCAAGCACAACGACCTAAACAACGTCGTTTAAACTGTTTTGCCTATAAGCCTAATTCTATAAAGGGAGAAGATATAAGGCGACAACGTGTCGAACCATAAGTCAATCACCTATAAAGAATAAGAAGCGTAAAGGTACCAAGGACCTGGATATGTCCACTAAACTGTCAACCCATCTTTGCTACATCCACCACAACGCCACCCAAGCCTACACATAATCTATGCAATAGACATAATCTATGCAATAGAAGATATGGCTCCTCGGGACGACGAGCCTAAGGGGGGGGTGATGTCACGGTTTTATCCGGACATATTCATTTCGACAACATAATTCCTATATAAGGCAATCCTATACCCGGATATAGGCACAACCCTTAGTATTGGT